TAATGTTTTCTCCAGGATAGAATCAAGCATACATCATTGATATTTTTCTCTTGTACACTACAAGATCGAGATTATTCAAACGTTAGTTTGTGCGTAAACTGTTGAGTTTCATATTAAACAACTGGTACTTGAGCTTAAAAAAAAAATTTGTTTGTGCAATTTAAAGAAAAATGAGTTTTTTAATATTAAAAATTATTTCTTTTACTTAATAATTTTCTGTTTTGGACTGGATGAGGGTGCGGGGGATTCATTGGGTGTAAGGCTTAGACTTCCCTCTCACTCAAAACAAAGGAGACAAAACAATGGGTTTAGAAACGTAAATGGTTCACCATTTGGCCCGTCAGCGGAAACCCAATTAATGGGCCTAGTCGAGCGAGAAAAATAAGGTAAGCCTAACCCAATTGATCTCCTCGGACAATACATCATATGCTCCTTGTACCTGCAATAAGCCCAAAACAATAACAGCTGAAGCCCACAATACAATAATTCATCATTATGAAATAATGGAAGTTGAATTTCTATTTCATCTATGGAAAAAGTGAAGTGTGGGTTCACATATTTGTGTGGTTGTTTTACCTTGGTAATGTATGACAAAAAGAAAGACAATACATAGGTGAAGACGCATAATAAACTAAATGATGTTTGAAGTTTTTTTTGATGAGGCATACCAATTGATAGAAAACTATTTAGGGAGAAGAGAAGTGGAGAGGAATAATGATGATTTAAACCAAAGTTGTTAATACCGTATCGGTATATGTACTGATTTTGCTATTGAAATAGTACGTATTGGATACTGAAACTTTTTACGTATTGGATACTGAAACTTTTTACGTATCATTTTGGATTTATTGCTATAAATATATATTTTTATAAATTAAATATCAATTTTGAAAATAATGAGAAGAGAAACCAGTGTTTAAAACCATCATATTTCTATAAATTGAAAACAAGTTTCAAATGATTAATTTTATAAAATATTCATAATTTTTTAAAAAATATTAAATGTGTATATTTAGATAAATTTAACAGATTAACCTATAAAAGGATTAAAAAATATATTAAAAAAAATTAAAGGATGAAAATTATGTAAAATATTAAATTAAAGACTAAAAATGAAATTTACCCTTTTTAAATTTAAATTTTTTTGTACAATTGATTTTCGGTGTATCGATCGGTATATCGAAATATTAGCCGATACGTCGAAATTTGATCAAACGAAATTAAACCATATACCATTTCAAACCAATGAGAAAATCGATACGTACTGATCGTATCGATCGGTACAAAATGATACCGACAACTTAGATTTAAACCTTGATTATAAAGATAAAAAAAATATATTTTTACTAATAATTTAACAATCACATATTTTATAGGCCTTTCTCGAATAATGTCTGGAGTTAAACACAAACATATGTATTAAAGTTTGTTTTATATGGTAGTACAATAATTTGTTCTGTGCACGTGAGGCAAAATGAAGGTATATACGGAACAAACTAGGTAGGTTGCCGTGAATTAATATTCGAGCTTGAGAAGAATTATATACTGAACCTTAAAATGCCAATGACATCCATTAATTTGCATCTTTGTTTTGGTAACGATAGGGACAAGACTCTTTTCTTGAATTGTAGGAAATTAAGAAATTAAGAAATAATTATAACAATTATAATTATAATTATAATTTGAATCCTTAATAAAAAAATATTTAAATTATTAATACACTTCCATCACGACTAGTGGTGCAAGTGCGCCAGGGACGAGACTTAAAGAAGACACTTTAAGGAGCGGTCATCACAACCATTTTGCATGATATGATATCCATTTGTTCAATCAAAGCACTGCTTTACTTACATGCTTTAACGATAAAATAGAAATGCTTGCTACGCCCTCGTGAAAAACAGCTGCTTTCTACACAAAAAGCCAATAAATCGACGAAGGTTGTCCTGATCTACTCTGCAGTCTGGGCGTTATGTACGAATGGTATGACATAATTAATGCTAAACTCCATTCGTGCTAGAAAGGTATTGGAAAAGAAAAATAAAGGAACAGTGGAGTAGGGGTGGACAAAAACTAGTTTTGGTTGAAATTGAAATCGGTTTTTAAATAATCAATTTTTTTTTTTAATTTTGAGAATTGAAACTGAATCAAAATTTTTATAAAATGATCAATTTGGTTACCAATAAAATTAGTTTGATTTTGATTTTTACTAAATAAATATTAATCAATTTTTTTCATTAATAAATTATATTTTATTTCATATTGTATTATATTTTGTCATATTTATTTAAATTTCAATTTTTTAGAGGCTTATTTTTGGTTTTTAATTTGTGAAAGATTCAATCAAAATCGAATCAAAATTTATTCTATTAATATCAAAACCAAAATAATAAAACTCAAAAACCATTAAAACTAAACCGAATTCATTTTTTTCAGTTCGGTTTATGGGTAACCCTTTGGTTACCCACTCGAACGCCCACCCATACAATGAAGTGATGCTACCTGATGGCGGTAAAAGTAAATGGTAGAGATTCATGTGTTAGAATTTTAAGGATGAATTTATATAAAATTTTAGATATTATGATATGATAAAATAATAAATTATGTATTTTTATAATTAACATTTTATTTAAGAATCTTAAAAAATCATCATAGACAAAACTTACAAAATAAATATAGTTGATGTTGATTTAGGTATTTCTCTCCCTATTCAACTTCTATATACTTCTATATAATGATAATTAATGAGTTATGTCACTTTCTAACTTTACACGTATTTTTTTTATAAAAGTAAGGTATTTTGAATGGAAAAGGGGACCTTTCCATGATAGCAATCTTTTAGGCACATCATCAAGTAATCCATATTTAATTCCAAGCTATATATCTATTTATATTACACCATATAAAACTGAGATAAACACCTAAACCCACTTGAATCACTTAACTTTATTAGATTTTATCGGTTTTCCATTTGACTCAATTTTGAAAACCAAATATAATTAGTGAAAACCCACATCACACTTGGGAAACGCTAATTAGTTTTAAATTAGAAAAAAACATATTTTGAAAAATGACTCTTAAGTCAAACACAATTTTCGTAGTCACAAATATAAATCTAAATCTTAGTACATAATTTTGTTTAATAAAACTATCAATATCGAATTGTGTGATCATTGTACCACTAGCAACATAAGACACCTCACAATCACAAGTATCAAAAATCTCCACCAACATTAATTCTAATAAGTGTGATAAAATGTAGTGTGGTTTGACATAGCATAATCCATAGAATATATAACTTGTTGAAATCACAATGATCCTCCTTATAGTTTCAAAGAAACCCTTTTGTCAAGATATAATTCATTTTACATTTCCCCCAAGAAAGCTTTTAAACTTTATTCTAATTTAATAGAAACTCAAGAAATAATCACTTTCATTTTTCTAGAAAAGTCTTTACACTTCAAAAGAAGTTTACAAACTTCCAAAAAAAGCCTTTATACTTTAAACTTTGAGATCTTGATATCAGTATTTGTTTGACCTCATAAAAACATTAATAGAATGCACATTCATCATTATAAAATAATAAGTGATACAATAAACAGAATAAAGTTTATTATTAACTAAAAAATCAACTTCTCCCAATTGATCAATAATATCTAAAACAATTCTCATAAATAATTCTCATAAATAACTAACAAAATTATAATATCTTGATAAGTAAATTAGTTAACATAGTCAAAATAATACATGACTATAATCATTTTTTATAATTTCACCTTAATATCATTCTCACATTAAGATCTTTTACTTCTACTAAAACCGAAACAACTTATTCTTATCTTTTAACTCACTCTACTTACATATCTTTTGACTTAAAGTCACGATTTCTTACTTCTATTAAAAGTAAAGCAACTTATTCTTATCTTTTAACTTATTCTACTTGCATGTCTTTCAACTTAATTTCAGGATCCCTTCTATTAAAAGTAAAGCCACTTATTCATATCTTTTAGGCAAAAACCCTTCTTAAGCCCTCAAACTTACTGTAAAATAGCATTTAAGCCCTTGAACTAAAAATGAAGTAGATAAACCCTCCAACACTACTAATGATGTATATAAGCCCTTCTCATTTATGGGTGTTCATGCTTTGAAGGTGATATTAAACATGAAATATTGTTTGGTTAGTTAATAAAAATAGCTTATTTTTATCGTTAGTGGAGTTTGAGAGCTTATTTACTTTGTTTTTGGTTTAGGGGCTTAAATGCTTTTTTAGGATAAATTTTGGGGCTTAAGAAGAGTTTTTGCTTATCTTTTCACTTAAATTCAAAATCTCTTATTTCTACTAAAATTAAAGCAACTTATTTATATCTTTTAACTCACTCCATTTGCATGTTTTTTAACTTAAATTCAAAATTTCTTACTTCTACTAAAAGTCAGATTTCTTATTTCTACTAAAAATACAGCAACTTATTTTTGTTTTTTAACTCACTCTACTTGCCTGCTTTTTTATTTAAATTCAAAATTTTTTATTTTTACTAAAAATAAATTATTACTAAA